ATGCATGCAATACATCATTATCAATAAAATGAAATCAAATGAGTGGTTACATATTTGACTTTGTTTAAGCCAAATTTTTGGAACAGTTTTAAAATGATTAAAAGTGATACTCTCTCTGATATGTACTGGTGTTTTATTCCATCCTTCTGCTGCTCTGACTAAAAAAACTGATCGTTCAAAAGCAGTTCTTTCAAGTTTAACTGAAAAGTCACCTATAACCAATGACCAAGGCCAGACGGAATCTGCGGAAGTTTTTTGCTATTTCTGCAGAGAATTTTGGTAAAAATCTGCAGATTTCTGCGGAATTATTTTGGGAGTATCATGACTAAATCCTTAATATGTGAAATAAAAAGTAAAACCTTTTTAAACTTTTATTTAATGTTTAATCTGCAAATCCAATTAGATGCACTTTATTTGATAAACAAAGCAAGTCTCTCGTATAATATCTCTACTAAAAGACAGAAACTATCACTGTACAAACTGCATTGTGCACAAATCAGATGCACATTTTCATATTAGTCAATAACATTACTGTAATTAATTTAAAAACTGAATAAATATAAATTTACACACATTTACTCAAGTAAATAAACAGAATTAATGATGGGCTAAAAATCTACGGAATTCTGCGCACGCAGATTTCGTGTGGGCATACCGACACCCTAGTCTGTCTTACATTGTCCTTGCTGACAATCACACATTGTTTGGGAGGTGGTGGTGCAAGATCATTAAATATTTTATACAATAAGCATACATCAGCGTAAAATAAGAAACTGTCGAATTTTAGTCATATTTGTTGTGCAATACAGTTACAATGATAATAGCTCCTTGGCTTTTTAGCTAAAATATTTACAGTTTGTTTACAATGGTTTAAAATGTTGTAATGTTCATGTGGGGCCGCTTGTAGCACAATAAGATAAGTGAGGGAAAATCATTGAATTCATAAAACGTTTAGCAGCAGCCATAGGTAACCGATGCCCCAATGTTTCTATTCACGAGTTCACACTCAGAGATATTTGATTGAGTAGAATATGCGTATTTGGTGTGTTGTCCGGGGAGAGGGCTCTGAGCTGGGAAAGACACCCTAACTCGTATTATGCCTAGTTCAGACTGCGTGATTTTAGCCCCGATTTTGGCTCGCCGACAGGTTTTGAGAAATCGCCGACAAATGCCTGAAATCCCAGGCAAATTGCTGCTCGTGCACGTGAGTGACAATCACACAGTATGAACTTTCAAAGAGGCGATCTGAGAGAATCGCCGATGCCTGTGAGATATTCGGCATGCTAAATATCTGGAGCTGTCGGCGATTCAAATCATGCCGTGTGAATTGAGTTTTGACTGAAAATAACATCAGCGATTGCCTACAGCCAATGAGAGAGCGGCTTTCACTTGTGTGTGTGCGTGTGTGTATACCTGCTGCAGGCCAGCAGGAGGCTGGGGGAGAAGTTAAAAGCTCTCTTTTTCGGTTTATTTGGACCCACGAAATGGAGGAAAAACTAGTGGAGGTTTGACAGGACTCAGGAGCAACCGTGTATGTTTGACGTTTCATACAGAAAGACATTAGTTTATTAGCAACGTTGAGGAGAAATGGCTAATTCCCTTTAATCCCAGGTGAGCAAACATGTACATGTTCTACCCCATTAAAGACTTCTTTCTCATCATGTAGTTAATAACAAAAGATATACTACGTGTTTTTGGCTGTGAGACGTAGTTTGGACGAAGTTGTCGGCGATTCTTCCTATAGTAAAGTCATGCAATGTGAAAGTCCCTGTCGCCGATCCATCTTGCAGTGTAAACAAAGCAGCGACGAAATGCTAGCCCAGCTAGTCATGCAGTGTGAAAACATCTGTGACACGACTACTATTAAAATCATGCAGTCTGAACTCGGCATTATTCCCCTTATCAGGATAAAGAGAGACCCCGCCCCCTATGACTATTTATAGGGGTCTGCTCTTCAACTGATTGGATAATAGAATGATTGTGTGTGTGATGAATTAGCCTCGTCAAAGACTGATCATGCTCCTCCTGAAATTTGTTTATAAAACATCACTAAATCCTCAGGCTTGCTCTAGCTCTTTTGGAAACCTACTTAATGTTTTTTTTTAAATTTAAATTACAGTCAATAATTATACCTAAATATTTAACTTGATCAACTATAATTATTACTTCTCCAATAACTAAAATATCTGAGCAATGCTCCTCATTTTTCTTAATTGAATTTATTTTTACTTACATTGAGGGTAAGACATGAACAATATAACCAGTCTGAAACTTTCTCTAGCTTTGGCTTTAGAGAAGTCATAGAAATATAATAAATAGTAATTACTGATTAATTATTAAATAGTAATTACTTTCCACTGTTCAAAAAGTCAGAGTTTTTCCTCCTACAGTGAGTCATTAATGGATGATGTGCAAACTTGTGTGACTCTGTGTTTGCTCAGGCAACACTTGTCCTCTCTGGTGATGGAGGCTCTTCATGCTAATGTTGTTTGGCCAATAGCAGGTTTCTATGCGACGCCGGTCAGTTGCTGTGCCAACTCAGATCAGCAGTCCTTCATCATGGCTGGATGATTTTTAATTCATTTGATTTTGAACCTGCATTATTCAAATAATCACAGGATAGAACAGATTATGTATTATATTATTAATATTATATATATTATTTATAATATTGCATATTATAATGATACCTACTTGATATACAAAATATAATCAAATACTATTTATATTTATATTATAGTGTGTTTATTTTAAATGTTAAATGTTGAAGTCAGAATTATTAGCCCCCTACATATTTTTTTTTTTGTTTGACAGAGAGAAGATTATTTAAAACATGATAGTTTAAATAACTCATTTCTAATAACTGATTTATTTTATCTTTGCCATGATGACGGTAAATAATATTTTACATAGATATTTTTCAAGATCCTAGTATTCAGCCTAGAGTGATATTTAAATTAAATATCTTAATTAGGTCAATTAATTAGGCAAGTTAGGGTAATTTGTATAACTGTGGTTTGTTCTGAAGACAATGGAAAACAAATGTTGCTTAAGGTGCTAATAATATTGGCCTTAAAATGTTTTTTAAAAAATGAAAACGGCTTTTATTCTAGCTGAAATAAAACAAATAAGACTTTCTCCAGAAGAAAAAAATATTATAGGAAATACTGTGATAAATTCCTTGCTCCATTAAAGATAATTTGGGAAATATTTGAAAAAGAAAGTATAATTCATGGAAGGGCTAATAATTTTGATTGCATTTTGTATAAATTCAGCTATTTCATACAGTTGAAGGCAACATTTAGCCCTAAACAACTATATAAACAATGTATGATTATAAATCATTTTAAAACATGGTGATTTTTACCTTGTATGAAATTATTCAAACCAAAATGAAAACTTATTTGCAGTACTCATTATCCGCTCCAAACCAGTTTTAGTTTCTTTCTTCTGTTGAACAGAAAGCAAGATATTTATTTATTTATTGTAAACTTTATTTATTGAACACAAGTGAATAGCATTTGTTGTATACAAATGTCCAATATCTTCTTTTTTTTTTTTCTTTTAAACACTTTTGTAAACATCCAACCCCAAAACCCCCCCACCCATTCTACCCATACATACACATAGCTAATCTTCTTGTCAAACATATAACAGATGACGAAGGGTAAAATAAACAAAAATATATATAGTAATAATACAATTTAAAATAAATATATAAATAAATTGAAATAAATGTATGTGTGTGTATACACACACACACACACACACACACATATACACACACACACATCCATACATATACATATAAATATAAGTAAATAAAGTGAACATGGGGCATAGTAAATTAAATAAGTAAATAAATAAATAGATCAATAAATACAATAAAATAGATACATTAATTACAACAACAATAATGTGCTACCTTGGTTATTGTGGTTTTAGTTGTGCTGAGGTTGGACCAATGTGTCTAGTTTAGGGCATAATAACACCAGAGTAAAAAGGCTAAATTGTAAGCTAATTCTGACCATAAAATAATGTCTTAAATAATCGCTTCGAGAGGTGTTAAATTCTCATAATAATTTAGTAGTGGCCTCCAATGAGTATAAAACTTGTGAGATGATCCTCTGAGAGAGAACTTGATCTTCTCCAATTTCAGAAGACTTAACGTGTCAGACTTTGAGGGTGATTGTAGTGATTTCCACATTAGAAAGCAAGATATTTAGAAGAATGTTTGAAAAAACAAACAAACAAGCAAGCAGCTACTGACTTCCATAGTATTTTGTTTGTTCTGAGTAAGGATGTCAACAGCTGCTTTTTTTCCCTAACATTTTTCACAATATCTTCCTTTTGTGTTTCATAAAAGTTTACAACCACATGAGTGTGAGTATATGGAGAGGAAACATAGTTATTTCATATGAACTGCCCCATTAAGATATTAAATAACTAGAGGAAATAAATCTAAAATTATAACAGGGCAGCATGGTGGCACAATGAGTAGCACAATCGGTTGCTGGTTTGAGCCTCGGCTGGGTTAGTTGGCATTTCTGTGTGGAGTTTGCATGTTCTCCTCCCATTCATGTGGATTTCCTCCTGGTGCTCCAGTTTCCCTCACAAGTCCATAAACATGCGGTATAGGTGAATTGGATAAGCTAAGTTGTCCATAGTGTTTGGGTGTAAATGTGTGTATGGATGTTTCCCAGTGATAGGCATCCGCTGCGTAAAACATATGCTGGATAAGTTGGCGGTTCATTCCACTGTGGTGACCTTAGATTAATAAGGGAACTAAGCCAAAAAGACAATGAATAAATAAATGAATGAATGAATACAATTATAACAATCAGAATTTGTGAAGACAAAAACAAAAATGGTGGCAGCTCTTTTCTGCCATCTCCTGGTTGTAGAGGGTAATAACACATTAATCCACCACCACCATCACCATCATCATCATCATCAGTCATGTGTTGAATTGTGATTATTGTCCTGCTGCTGTTGTTCAGGACACGGCGGGACAGGAGCGCTACAGGACCATCACCACAGCCTATTACAGAGGAGCAATGGGCTTCCTGCTCATGTTCGACATCACCAACCGGGACTCATTCAATGCTGTTCGGGACTGGTGAGTGACACGCTTCACACAGACACACACGCACACACATACTTGTATACATGGTTTGCAGTAACCCTCCAGGCGTAATGTATTTTACACTATAAAAATGCTTATTTTATGACCCCAGCACCCCTAAACCCAACACTCACAGCAAATCTGAGGCAAATTTTGAATGTCAAAAGACTTTAAAGTATGATTTTTAACCTGTTTCCCTGTAAATCATTTTTATACTCAAGTCATACTGAATACGGCCATTATACAACTCTTTCTCCTTGTAAACCACAAACAAGTGCACACATGAACAGGTGTACCTAATAAAGTGGCCAGTGAGTGTATAACACACTATAAAAAAAATCCCGTAAATCCTGTTTTCTGTATTTCCTTCTGTTTATTTCTGCTTTGAATTGCATTATGGGACCTTGATTTTTCTTCCAACAACTTTTAGCCGTGAAGAGTTTGAAAAATTTGACTTCTTTTAAGATTTTTCATAGTTTAAAACAGTTTTTTAATACTGATTGAGAGTGTTTAGTGTTTCTGTCCTGACTGTGTAGGGCCACGCAGATCAAGACGTACTCGTGGGACAATGCTCAGGTGATTCTGGTGGGAAACAAGTGTGATCTGGAGGACGAGCGGCTCATTCCTACTGAGGACAGCCAGAGACTCGCACACGAGCTCGGTGAGGGAACACACACTTTAAAATAAATCATCTGAATAAATAAATAACCAGAATGTTGTTGTTTTTTTTTTTTAAGTTTTATTTTTTGATGTAGTTTTTTTGTTGTGATTTTTGGTTTTTGGTTTTTGTTGTTTTGTTTTGTTTTGGTTTTATTGTGGTTGTTTCGTTTTGTGTTGCGTTTTGTTTTGTGTTTTTTGTTGATTTGTTTTGTTTGTTTTTAGTTTTGTTTTTATTGTTTGTTTAGTTCTGTATTAAGTTTTGTTTTGTGTGTTGTTTTGTTTAATTTAGCTTTGTTTTGTGTTTTGTTTTGTGTGTGTTTTTGTTTAATTTTGTTCAGTTTATTTTTTTCTTTTTTGTGTTGTTTTTTTGTAGTTTTTTTGTTTGTTTTGTTTTGTGTGTGTGTGTTTTGTTTAATTTAGTTTAATTTATTTTATTGTTGTTTTGTTAGGTTTTGTTTTTGTGTTGGTTTGGTTTTGTTTTGTTGTGGTTTTGTGTTGTGTTTTGTTTCATGTTTTTTGTTTTGTTTTGTATGTTTTTAGTTTTGTTTTTGTTGTCTTAGTTTTGTGTTTAGTTTTGTATTTAGTGTTGTTTTGTGTGTTTTTAGTTTTGTTTAATTAACCCTTGTTTTGTTTTGTGTTGTTTAGTTTATTTTTATTACTTTTGTTGTTTTTGTGTTTTGTTTTTGTTGTTGTGTTTTGGTTTGGTTTTGTTGTGGTTGTTTCGTTTTCTGTTTTGTTTTGTGTTGCGTTTTGTTTCGTGTTTCTTGTTGTTTTGTTTCTTTTTTTGTGTGTGTGTTTTGTTTTGTTTTTGTGTTGTTGTTTTGTCAATACAGAAAAAGAAAACATCTATTCATTTATTAGTTTCCTGGATTATTTAGAAAAAAAATCCTAGATATTTTATCATTTTCATACTGAATAATTAAATAATGGATCATTTATAAATCAAGTTCATTTGTTGTTTTGTTTTGTTAATACATAAAGTCAATCATTAATTTAGTAATTTCCTGTACTATTTAATAATTTCTAATTTGCATAATGGATAATTAATTAATTGATAATTTACAAAAGAAGTTTGATTTATAAACAAGTAATTTTTTTAGTTTATTAAATTTTTACTTCTATTAATAACAAAAAATATTAAGATATGTTAATATATTAAGCAAATGTATACATTTTACCAGTTATTAATAATAATACAAATACACACACACATATACAGTGTGTTTCTCCAGTTTCTGTCTAAGGCAGATTATTTTTTCAACACATTCTAAACATACTATTTTTAATAATTAATATCTAATAACTGATTTATTTTATATTTGCCATGATGACAGTAAATCATATTTCACTAGATATGTTTCAAGATGCTAGTATTCAACTTAAAGTGACATTTAAAGGCTTAACTAGGTTTATTAGGCAATTCATTTTATAACCGTGTTTTGTTCTGTAGACAATGAAACATATTGCTTATAATTACTTATAATGGGGGCTAATAATCAAAAAAAAACAATAATAATTAAACTTCTTTTATTCTAGCCGAAATGAAACTAATAAGACTTTCTCCAGAAGAAAAAATATTCACAGGAAATAGTGGGAAAAAATCCTTAATCTAATGAATATCACTCAAAATTTTAAAAAGAATAACCATCGCACAAGAGGTGGAATAATAATTGTAAAAATATATACTTGAGAAACTTGACTTTATTTTTCACTTTTATTCGTCTTTACAGGTTTCCAGTTTTTCGAGGCGAGCGCCAAAGACAGCATCAACGTGAAGCAGGTGTTTGAGTGTCTGGTGGACGTGATCTGTGACAAGATGACCGAAAGCCTGGACGGAGACGCCGCCGTGTCCAACCATAAAGACTGCAGTCTGCAGGACGCGGCTGATGAAGGACACAGTGCCTGCGCCTGCTGAAAGCACACAACAGAAAACACTTTCCTCCTGCTAGCTCTGCTGTGGTTTGTTGACGTGGACGGAGTATCATGATGACGTGGATTGGACTCTGCGCTGGTGATCTACGTGACACACCCGTCGCAAAACAACTCCACACACTGCAGGTTCATTCACATTTCTCACACATCTTTCCCTCTAACAGGCCTCACGCTTTGAAGGTTCTTTGTGCTTTTTGCATGCGTTGCCTTTTTTTTCAGCTCATTATTGTTGAGATCAATGTTGTGAGTTCTGATGAACTGATGTGTGTTTACTCTTGGGAAAAATTCTCTCAAGTGAAGCTTTCTGGAAGATTCGAGAGTTTTTTTTTAAAGGGGTAGTTCACCCAACTATGATATTTATTCATCATTTGTACATCATCAAGTGGTTCTAAACCTCCAAAGTTTCTTTGTTCTGGTGCACACAAAAGAAGATATTTTTAAGAATGTTGAAAACCTTTAACCATTGACTTCCATAGTATGATAAACAAATACTATGGAAGTCAATGGTTATAGGTTTCAGCATTTTTCAAAATATCTTCCGTTGTCTTTGACAGAAAAAAAGCCACTCAAACAGGTTTTGAACTAGTGAAGATTGAGTAAATGATGACAGACTTTTCAGTTTTGGGCGAACTATCCCTTTGAGTGTCTTTCCGTCTTTTATTCTTGATTTGATTTTGACAATGTCTTGTGCTTATTATAAAATTCGAGAAGTATTTTGTGTAATAAAATAAAATAAACATTTGTTAGAATACAGATAAAAGGAGTGTTCCTGATTATAAATTGTTCATTGTTGGCACACTTTTTAAAATAATGACCTCATTTGTTATTTGAAGAAGTTAACAATCTTTATACACTCACCGGCCACTTTATTAGGCACACCTTACTAGTACCAGGTTGGACCCTTTTTTGTTTTCAGAACTGCCTTAATTCTTTGTGGTGTAGGATTTAACAAGGTACTAGAATTTTTTCTTAGAGATTTTGTACCATATTGACATGATAGTATCAGAAAGTTGCTGAAGATTTGTCGGCTGCACATCTATGATGCAAATCTCCCGTTCCACCACATCACAAAGGTGCTCTATTGGATTGAGCTCTGGTGATTGTGAAGGCCATTTGAGTGCAGTGAACTTATTGCCGTGTTCAAGAAACCAGTCTGAGATGTTTAGCGCTGAGATGTTTATGACATAGTGAGTTGTCCTGCTGGAAGTAGCCATCAGAAGATGGGTACACTGTGGTCAAAAAGGGATGGACATGGTCAGCAACAATACTCGGGTAGGCTGTGGTGTTGACACGATGCTCAATTGGTACTAATGGGCCCAAAGTGTGCCAATAGTGTGCCACACTATTACACCACCATCACCAGCCTTAACCGCTGATACAAGGCAGGATGGATCCATGCTTTCATGTTGTTGATGGCAAGTTCTGACCCTACCGTCCAAATGTGGCAGCAGAAATTGAGACTCGTCAGATCAGGCAACGTTTTACCAATCTTCTATTGTCCAATGAGCCTGTGTAAATTGTAGCCTCAGTTTCCTGTTCTTAGCTGACAGGAGTGGCAACCAGTGTGGTCTCCTGCTGCTGTAGCCCATCTGCCTCAAGGTTGGATGTGTTTTGCGTTCAGAGATGCTCTTCTGCAGACCTGTGGTTATTTGAGTTACTGTTTCCTTTCTATCAGCTAGAACCAGTCTGGCCATTCTCCTCTGACCTCTGGCATCAACAAGGCTATGAACTGCCACTTGATACTTTTGAGATGGTTGTGCGTAAAAAACCCAGTACATCAACAGCTTCTACAATACTCAGACCAGCCCGACTGGCGCCAGCAACCATGCCATGTTCAAAGTCACTTAAATCCCCTTTCTTCTCTTACATGATGCTCGGTTTGAACTGCAGCAGATCTTCTTGACCATGTCTACATGTCTAAATGCGTTGAGTTGCTGCCATGTGATTGGCTAATTAGAAATTTTCATTAACGAGCAGTTGGACAGGTGTACCTAATAAAGTGGCCGATGAGTGTATAACACAATGTGATAGCTTCATCCTTGTTATGCAGTTTTTTAAACCATGCAAACATGATGGTTAAAAAAAAGGGGAACATAGCCTTAACACCTTTACCCAAGAACAGGAAACTTGGCTTGCAGATATAAATATCTTGTCTAGCTATGTCTATCTAGAAAAAAAAAAACATTTGACAACATACATGAACACAACAGAGAGAAAAACAGTTATAAAACTACACCGTAAAAAATGCTGGGACCCATGCAATTCCTTCATGTTGTTAACTTAATTGTTTTTACAAATTTAAGTGATTCGAACATTTAAATTTTCTAAAAAAAACATGGCTCAGTGGTTAGCAGAGTCACCTCACAGCAAGAAGGTCGCTGGTTCGAGTCCAGGCTTGGCCAGTGAGTGTTTCTGTGTGGACTGTGGAGTTTGTATGTTCTCCCTGTGTTGTGCTGGATTTCCCTCACAGTCCAGAGACATGCGCTGTAGGTGAATTGGGTGAGCTAAATTGGCTGTGATATATGTGTGTGAATGCGAGAGTGTTTGGGTGTTTTCCATAACTGGGTTGCAGCTGGAAGGGCATCCTCTGTGTAAAACATGCTGGAATAGTTGGCGGTTCATTCCGCTGTGGCGACCCCTGATGGATGACTGAGATGAGGTTGATCTTTGTTGTAATTAATTGACTTCTCAGCCAGCTAAATGCATATCAACAAATCACATAAGACTGAGGGCAAACATGAGCGGTGTTGTTGATTAAGCAGTGGACAGGGCTGCTCTCCTCTATCAGTGTTTCTGCACACTCTTCTGGCTGTCCGTTATGTCCACTGTTCTCTCAGAGTAAACAGATAGCAGACCCGCGCCTGCACTCAAGCTTTTCCCGCGGGTTTTTATCCTCTTCAGTGCCAGCTGGCCTTAATGCTGTTAAATACACTGCTGGATGGTTAAACTCTCACACATTTCTTCATCTGAGCCCTCAAACCTCTCATTCAGGGTTCAGACACGCTTACATGAGCAGCAAACATGAATTTCTTTAATTGTTTTCATCCTTTTATAGCAAAACCGTTTTATTAGTCGTAGTTTCTATTTCTTATGAAATTCCTTTAAGGGATAGTTCACCCATTGTCATCATTTCCTTATTCTCCATTTTTTTTTTTACTATGGGAGTGGATGGTTACAGGCTTTTAACATTCTTCAAAATATCTTCTTTAGTGTCCAACAGAAAATAAGAAATTCTTAAAGGTTCAAAACCAACACACAATATTCTTGGGTGAACTGTACTCCCTGTTGCTATCAGAATGTAAAGCACAAGTAAAAGTGTAAAAAAAAAAAAAAAGAAAGAAAGAAAGTGAATTTGTGCACTCATATTTATTTATTTTTCCTACCATGCAAGTAGTTGGTTACCAGTTTCCAACATTCTTCAAAATATCTTCTTTGGTGTTCAACAGAAATAGAGAAACTTTAAAGGTCCAAAACCAACACAAAATTTTACTTCATTAACTCATCCTCCACTTACAAAATTTTTTTAATTTCTTCTGTTAAACACAGAAGAAGATATTTTGAAAAATGTTGTAAACCTGTAACCATCGACTGTTCGAATTGTTTAAGTGTGAGTAAATGATGCTCATTCTTGGGTGAATTCTACATTTAAACATCAGCATGTAAAGCACAAATAAAAACCTTTTCACTAGAAAAAGGTGAATTTGTGCACTCGTATTTATTTTTCCTACAATGGAAGTCGATGGTTACCGGTTTACAACATTCTTCAAAATATCTTCTTTAGTGTTCAATAGAAAAAAAAGAAACTCCTAAAGGTTCAAAATCAATACACATTTAAATTGTCATCATTTACCCATCCTCCACTTTTTTAAACACATTTGACTTTCTTCTGTTGAACACAAAAGAAGATATTTTAAAGAATGTTGGAAACCTGTAACCATTGACTTGTGTGAGTAAATGATGCTCATTTTTTGGTGAACTATAACTTTAACAGCATGTAAAGCACAAATAAAAGCCTTTTCGAAGAAGAGAAAGTGACTTTGTGCACTCATATTTGTTTTTCCTGCTATGGAAGTGGATGGTTACCGGTTTCCAACATTCTTCAAATAAACTTCTTTAGTCTTCAACTGAAAAAAATACCTCCTAATGGTTTAAAACAAGTGCAAAAATTTAAACTATCATCATTTGCTTATTCTCCACTTTCAAACACATTTGAGTTTCTTCTGTTGAACACAAAAGAAGATATTTTGAAGAATACACGAGTTGTCTTCAATGAACCTAAACGAGCACATGTCACTCCACTGCTAGTCCGTTTGCACTGGCTGCCAGTTGCTGCTCGCATCAAATTCAAAACTCTGATGTTTGCCTACAAAGTGACTTCTGGCCTAGCACCTTCTTATCTGCACTCACTTCTGCAGATCTATGTGCCCTCCAGAAACTTGCGTTCTGTGAATGAACGTCGCCTCGTGGTTCCATCCCAAAGAGGGAAAAAATCACTTTCGCGAACGCTCACGCTCAATCTGCCCAGTTGGTGGAATGAACTCCCTAACTGCATCAGAACAGCAGAGTCACTCGCTATTTTCAAGAAACGACTAAAAACTCAACTATTTAGTCTCCACTTCACTTCCTAAGCTGCAATTGCCTCTTTGAATATCACACTAATTGTCCCCAAAAAAAAAAAAAAAAAAAAAAAAAAAAAAAAAAAAAAACTACTAACACTTCCCTTCTTAGACTTTACAGACCTGAAACTTGCCTTTAGTACTTATTCATTGTTGCTCTTGGTTGTGTAAATTGCTTCCTTGTCCTCATTTGTAAGTCGCTTTGGATAAAAGCGTCTGCTAAATGACTAAATGTAAATGTAAATACTGGAAACCGGTAACCATCGACTTTTTGAACTGCTTGACTGAGTAAATGATGCTCATTCTTGGGTGAATTCTACATTTAAACATCAGCAAAAAAAGAAAGAAAGTGTAAAGCACGAATAAAAACCTTTTCGCAAAAAAAGGGGAACATTTGTGCACTCTTATTTATTTTTTCCTACAATGGAAGTCGATGGTTACTGGTTTCCAACATTCTTCAAAATATCTTCTTTAGTGTTCAAAAGAAAAAAGGAACTTCTTAAAGGTTCAAAAGCAATACAAATTTAAATTGTCATCATTTACTCATCCTCCTCTTTCAAATAGCTTTGAGTTTCTTCTGTTGAACACAAAAGAAGATATTTTGAAGAATGTTCGAAACCTGTAACCATTGACTTGTGTGAGTAAATTATGCTCATTTATGGGTGAACTGTACTTTTGACAGCATGTAAAGCACAAATAAAAGCCTTTTCGAAGAAAAGAAAGTGACTTTGTGCACTCGCAGGAGTTGATAGCATCTGTAATTTACGACTTTATACCCATATCTCTGCCAAGTCCTCTTATTTTATCATCGCACACAGAAAACAATGGCAAATAGGCTTCCTGAGTTTTATTTTCCTGTTACCCACCGCAAACCCACCAACCTCCAGAGCCAGAGGAAACCAGGGAAATACATGCACCCTTGACCTCAGTCTTACATGCATAGTACCCTTTAAAATGTTATTGTGCATGTTGTAGCGTCTAAATTAGATCTGAAAAAAGTATTGAATGTATATTAAAGTGAACTAAAACAATATCTTTGCATGTGTAAAACCACCTGTAAAAATGATAGTTCACCTAAAACTGAAACATTCATCATTTACTCATTCTTCAACCCTATTAGAGTTTCTTTCTTCTGTTGAACCCAAAAGAAGATATTTTGAAGAATGTTGGAAACCTGTAACCATCGACTTACACAGTATTTATTTTTCCTTTTATGGAAGTCGATGGTTACAGGTCTCCAACATTCTTCAAAAGATCTTGGTATATAATATATGGTAATAAATGTAAACCTGTAAGCATGGACTCCCATTGTATTTGTTTTTCCTTCTATGGAGGTCGATGTTTACAAAGTTTTCAACATTAATTTAAACAACATTAATTAACCTATAAACATCGACCTCCACAGAAGGAAAAACAAATACAATGGAAGTCCATGCTCACAGGTTTTTATTTATTACCATATTCTATGGAGATCGATGTTTATAGGTTTTCAACATTAATTTAAATATCTTGGTTTATTGTATATGGTAATATATGGAAACCGGTAACCATTGACTTCCATAGTATTTGTTTTTTTCTACTATAGAAGTCGATATTTAGAGGTTTCCAACATTCCTCAAAATATCTTGGTATGTAATATATGGTAATATATAAAAACCTGTAACCATTGACTTCCATAGTTTTTATTTTTCCTTCTATGGAAGTCGATGATTACCAGTTTCCAACGTTTTTCAAAATGTCTTGGTATAATACATCTAAGGTAATATATGGAAACCTGTAACCATTGACTTCTATAGTAGGAAAAACAAACACTATGGAAGTCAATGGTTAAAGGCTTCCATATATTATCATATATTATATATCAAGATATTTTGAAGAATGTTGGAAATCGGTAACCATCGACTTCCATAGGAAAAACAAACACTATGGAAGTCAATGGTTAAAGGCTTCCATATAATATAAAATATTATATATTAGGATATTTTGAAGAATGTTGGAAAACGGTAACCATCGACTTCCATAGTAGGACAAACAAAGACTATGGAAGTCGATGGTTACCATTTCCAACTTTCTTCAAAA